CCTCCTCTGCTCTTGCTACCTCTTACTGGGCTGGCTGTTTTTCGCCCCAACTTTATTCACTGAATCAAATGTAGCGATGTTTAATTGATTAATTTGACACCTTAGCATTTGAATGGTTTGAAATAAACGTCACGTGAGTGGCCAAATTAATCCAAACAAGTGTTTCAGTGATTCAGTGGTTTCTGGCCGCATGCACGACCGCGATTATAACCATTTCATTATAGTCTTTTGTGCGCTGGGTTTATAAATAGGCGTCGCTCTCGGCATAAATGATTTTTTCGAATTTATTAGGGATCAAATTATCGTTTTCACGAGGTTTTTGTAAATTGAATGGATGTATATTGAATATTCCACAAAGCCTGCTAAATAACAAACGATTCGCGTGGCGCTGAGTTTGTAATAATTGTCTCGTATCGGACAAAAGCGGGGCAATATTCGTCTGCTATTAAATTCTTCCATTAACTGGATAATGTGCATAATTCAGTTTGTTCTAAACGAATGGATGTTATGAAAAAAAAAAAATGTGTGGCGCGGAGTTTACTTTTTGAGTTCAGTGAAACGTGTGGAGAGCGAGCGACAGACAATTTCTTCCAAATGTTCCTGGTGAAATGTGTTGTAAATTATCAACCCGTACAATGCAATTCTATTTTTCATGTTAGTTCACTGAATCTTGGTTATGAGAAATTTTATGCCTGTGTTTTATCTTACGTGGAAACTTTTGCGGTGAAAGTGGTTTAACTAAAAAAAAATTTAGGGAGGGGGAGGGGAGTTGGGGAAAGCGCCGTGAAAGAAATGGCTTAATGAAAGCAGCAGATTTTGTGACCTTTAAGCAGAGAAAATACAATAATGGGCAATGCCATCTAACAAACTACAAGATAGTTCAATTGACTCAGTCTGTGACAGACTAACGGAAATAAAATGCTTTTCATGTCCAGAGTGGAACCAAATGTTCTTCGTGTTGGAAAGCAAAGACAAAATAAAATCAAGAAAAAAACAGTAAATTTTAGATTTCGTGGCGGAAGCTAGAAAAAAGATTTTCTTCATTGTTTGCTCATAAATAACTGTTATGCAGATAAACACCTGATGCACACTTTGTTTTCACCAGAACTCCGTTCATTTTGCGAAAAATAACGAAATCGGTTTTTGCGGTGAAGGTCTCAAACTTTCCAAATTTCAAACCTTAAATTCGATGTGAGTCTAAACTGCGATCACACCTTTTCTCCCCTTTTACATCTGGTCGCGATCATACCCGCCTTCTCTCCCTCCCTCCCTAATAAAATAAAATAAAACGAAACGAAACGAAACGAAACGAAATAAAATAAATAAAGTAAAATAAAATAAAATAAAATAAAATAAAATAAAATAAAATAAAATAAAATAAAA